TATCTGTGCCGTCCATGTGCAGAGTTGTGACTAGAGACTCTCGGCAGTCATCTCTGCCTGTCCCCGTCGCCACTCGTCCGTCACCATAGGACTTTTGGGGTATAAGGGTTTTGATGATGATGAGAGGTATGATGAGCTGGATGATGGCTGCACACACACACACACACACACACACACACACACACACACACATTCCCAATTATGTAACTGATTATTATTATTAATCAAACACTCCCACGATAATCAGGATGCGACAAGTACCAAATTATCGTTAAACTGATTTTAAGTTATCAATTACAGACACCACTTTGAGTTATGCATCTCTGTGTGGTGTTCGCTGCCAATTTCGGTCAGGTGAGAGCCTATGACCGGGGAACACGTGTAGACAGGTTCCTGACGTGTGGTGGTGACGACACACCTGTAGCACACCTGTGTATAGTGTAGAGGCTCATTCATTCTCGCCCCCATCCATTCATTCATCATCTCCGTTCACAGGTGCCACTCCCGCCTACACACATACACAGACAGACAGACAGACCGACAGAAAGAGACAGACAGACCGACAGAAAGAGACAGACAGACAAACAGAAAGAGGTAAACCAACATACTGACAGACAGACAGATAATAATGGTTCGGTTTAAATGACAAGATGTGTTTATCCTGGCGATTTAAATCATCATTCCTTCTGTTTATAAAATATTAAAACAACAACACACAATCATGATTCGTCCGTTCTCACCTTCCCTCCACACAGGTGAGGTAAGGACGCCCCAGAGGTCCGTTCTCTCACCTTCCCTCCACACAGGTGGTGGGACGCCCCAAGGTCCGTTCTCTCACCTTCCCTCCACACAGGTGAGGTAAGGACGCCCTAAAGATCCGTTCTCTCACCCCCTCCACACAGGTGAGTGAGGACGCCCCAAAGGTCCGTTCTCTCACCTTCCCTCCACACAGGTGAGGTAGGACGCCCCAAGGTCCGTTCTCTCACCTTCCTCCACACAGGTGGTGGGACGCCCCAAGGTCCGTTCTCTCACCTTCCCTCCACACAGGTGAGTAAGGACGCCCCAGAGGTCCGTTCTCTCACCTCTCCACACAGGTGAGGTAAGGACGCCCCAAAGGTCCGTTCTCTCCCTTCCCTCCACACAGGTGAGGTAGGATGCCCCAGAGGTCCGTTCTCTCACCTTCCCTCCACAGGTGGTAAGGACGCCCTAAAGATCCGTTCTCTCACCTTCCCTCCACACAGGTGAGGTAAGGACGCCCAAGTCCGTTCTCTCACCTTCCCTCCACACAGGTGAGTGGGACGCCCCAGAGTCCGTTCTCACCTTCCCTCCACACAGGTGAGGTAAGGACGCCCCAAAGGTCCGTTCTCTCCTTCCCTCCACACAGGTGAGGTAAGGACGCCCCTAAAGATCCGTTCTCTCACCTTCCCTCCACAGGTGAGGGTAGGACGCCCCCAGAGGTCCGTTCTCACCTTCCCTCCACAGGTGAGGTGGGACCCCCCCAGAGGTCCGTTCTCTCACCTTCCCTCCACACAGGTGAGGTGGGACGCCCCAAAGGTCCGTTCTCACCTTCCCTCCCACACAGGTGAGGTAAGGACGCCCCCAGAGGTCCGTTCTCTCACCTTCCCTCCACACAGGTGAGGTAAGGACGCCCCAGAGGTCCGTTCTCTCACCTTCCCTCCACACAGGTGGTAGGACGCCCCAGGTCCGTTCTCACCTTCCCTCCCACACAGGTGAGGTAAGGACGCCCCAGAGTCCGTTCTCTCACCTTCCCTCCCACAGGTGAGTAAGGACGCCCCCAAAGGTCCGTTCTCTCACCTTCCCTCCACACAGGTGAGGTAAGGACGCCCCCAGGGTCCGTTCTCTCACCTTCCCTCCACACAGGTGAGGTAAGGACGCCCCCAGTCCGTTCTCTCACCTTCCCTCCCACACAGGTGAGGTAAGGACGCCCCCAAGGGTCCGTTCTCTCACCTTCCTCCACACAGGTGAGGTAAGGACGCCCCCAGGGGTCCGTTCTCTCACCTTCCCTCCCACACAGGTGAGGTAGGACGCCCCAAAGGTCCGTTCTCACCTTCCCTCCACACAGGTGAGTAGAGGACGCCCCAAAGGTCCGTTCTCTCACCTTCCCTCCACACAGGTGAGGGTAAGGACGCCCCCAGAGGTCCGTTCTCTCACCTTCCCTCCACACAGGTGAGTGGAAGAGGTCCGTTCTCTCACCTTCCCTCCACAGGTGAGGGGTAAGGACGCCCCCAGAGGTCCGTTCTCTCACCTTCCCTCCCACACAGGTGAGTAAGGACGCCCCCAAAGGTCCGTTCTCTCACCTTCCCTCCACACAGGTGAGGTAAGGACGCCCCAAGGTCGTTCTCTCACCTTCCCTCCCACACAGGTGAGTGAGACGCCCCAAAGGTCCGTTCTCTCACCTTCCCTCCACACAGGTGAGGTAAGGACGCCCCAAAGGTCCGTTCTCTCACCTTCCCTCCACACAGGTGAGGTAAGGACGCCCCCAAAGGTCCGTTCTCTCACCTTCCCTCCACACAGGTGAGTGAGGACGCCCCAAGGTCCGTTCTCTCACCTTCCCTCACAGGTAGTGGGACGCCCCCAAGGTCCGTTCTCTCACCTTCCCCCTCCCACAGGTGAGGTAGGACGCCCCCAGAGGTCCGTTCTCTCACCTTCCCTCCACACAGGTGAGGTAAGGACGCCCCCAGAGGTCCGTTCTCTCACCTTCCCTCCACACAGGTGAGTAAGGACGCCCCCCAGAGGTCCGTTCTCTCACCTTCCCTCCCACAGGTGAGTAAGGACGCCCCCAAAAGGTCCGTTCTCTCACCTTCCCTCCCACAGGTGAGGTAGGACGCCCCCAGAGGTCCGTTCTCTCACCTTCCCTCCACACAGGTGAGGTAAGGACGCCCCAGGGTCCGTTCTCTCACCTTCCCTCCACACAGGTGAGGTAAGGACGCCCCCAGAGGTCCGTTCTCTCACCTTCCCTCCACAGGTGAGGTAGGACGCCCCCAGGGTCCGTTCTCTCACCTCCCCTCACAGGTGAGGTAAGGACGCCCCAAGGTCCGTTCTCTCACCTTCCCTCCACACAGGTGAGGTAAGGACCCCCAAGGTCCGTTCTCTCACCTTCCTCCACAGGTGAGGTAAGGACGCCCCAGGGTCGTTCTCTCACCTTCCCTCCACACAGGTGAGGTAAGGATGCCCCCAAGGTCCGTTCTCTCACCTTCCCTCCCACAGGTGAGTGGGACGCCCCCAGAGGTCGTTCTCTCACCTTCCCTCCCACAGGTGAGGTGAAGGACGCCCCCAAGGTCGTTCTCTCACCTTCCCTCCACACAGGTGAGTGAGGATGCCCCCAAGGTCCGTTCTCTCACCTTCCCTCCACACAGGTGAGGTAAGACGCCCCAAAGGTCCGTTCTCACCTTCCCTCCACAGGTAGGGGCAAGGTCGTTCTCTCACCTTCTAGGTGAGGTAAGGACGCCCCCAAGGTCCGTTCTCTCACCTTCCCTCCACACAGGTGAGGTAGGACGCCCCCAAGGTCCGTTCTCTCACCTTCCCTCCACACAGGTGAGGTAAGGACGCCCCCAGAGGTCCGTTCTCTCACCTTCCCTCCCACACAGGTGAGGTAAGGACGCCTCTAATTGGTTCACTTTAAGCAGATATGAAAAATTAACATTGGAAATAGAGTTGACGACACTGAATGGTTGCGTGTGTGTGTGTGTGTGTGTGTGTGTGTGTGTGTGTATGTGTGTGTGTGTGTGTGTGTGTGTGTGTGTGTGGTGTGTGTGTGTGTGTGTGTGTGTGTGTGTGTGTGTGTGTATGTGTGTGTGTGTGTGTGTGTGTGTTATGAATCAGGAATTAAAAAAAAACTAATGAATCTCTTTTAAAATATTTCAGGTTTTCAGATTTTTTTCTTAGTATTTGTGAAGAAAATTACAACTCGCTTATTTTCTCGCAATTCTTATATTCATATTAAGTTATTATATAAACAATTTATCCATTCCGACTCTACACAAACATTCCAGACATAAACAAGATAGACCTTCACGCCTCATGACTCACAAGAGCGACGAGTCAAGCTACTACGCAGACATTTTGATCCTTATGGGTGAAGATGACGGATGAAATGAGCCTGTCAGCCAGCACAATATTGACTCCCACTCGCCGATGACGCGTCAAGCACAAAGTCTCTTAAAAGATAAATCCCTCGCGGTATTTCCTCTAAACATGACCATATTTGCTCACCTAAACACCGTAAACAACATCATTATTCTTCACCACCTCACAACCATCGCACTAGGCACTGGCAAGAGCATATAGAAAGACCGATTGGTAATAGCCTTCTATTGACGTTAGATACGTCTCTTGCCCCCATTGGCTGAGCCCTTAGCCTACGTCACGGACGCTAGCCTACGTCACGGTCTGTTATTGGCCAGCGAGGAGGGCGTGTAGAGGACGCTCGGCCAATGGGATACGAGGATTAAGCCACTACGTACCCTGTAACCCGATGCCCTGCCTGAGGTGACTGGTTGAGGTTCACAGATACTTGCCGGGATAGTGAACTGAACCCCTCCATACTGAACCACGACTATAGTGAACCCCTCCATACTGAACCACGACATAGTGGACCCCTTCCATACTGAACCACGACTATAGTGAACCCTTCCATACTGAACCACGACTATAGTGAACCCCTCCATACTGAACCACGACTATAGTGAACCTCCATACTGAACCGACTATAGTGAACCCCTCCATACTGAACCCCAGACCTTTTGATAGTGAACACCTTGATAGTGAACCCCTTGATAGTGAACCCCTTGATAGTGAACCCCTTGATAGTGAACCCTTTGATAGTGAACCCTTTGATAGTGAGAACCCTTGATAGTTCGGGGTAGGGCAATACAATACAATTACGGGAAGGGGCGGGGCAGCGGCGGAGGACAAGATGAGGTAACAGCAAGGCGAGGTAGTAGTATTACAGGACGGGGCGGGGCAGCGGCGGGGGCAAGATGGGGCAACAGCAAGGCGAGGTAGCAGTATTACAGGACGGGGCAGGGCTACGGCGGGGCAAGATGGGGCAACAGCAAGGCGAGGTAGTAATATTACGGACAGGGCGGGGCAGCGGCAGGACAAATGGGGCAACAGCAAGGCGAGGTAGTAGTATTACGGGACGGGGCGGGGCTACGGCGGAAGATGGGGCAGCAAGGCGAGGTAGTAGTATTACAGGACGGGGCGGGGCAGCAGGCGGGGACAAGATGGGGCAACAGCAAGGCGAGGTAGTAGTATTACGGGACGGGGCGGGGCAGCGGCGGGACAAGATGGGGCAACAGCAAGGCGAGGTAGTAGTATTCAGGACGGGGCAGGCAGCGGCGGGGCAAGATGGGGCAACAGCAAGGCGAGGTAGTAGTATTATGGGACGGGGCGGGGCAGCGGCGGGGGCAAGATGGGGCAACAGCAAGATGAGGTAGTAGTATTATGGGACAGGGCGGGGCTACAGCAGGGGCAAGATGGGGCAACAACAAAGCGAGGTAGTAGTATTATGGGACAGGGCGGGGCAGCGGCGGGGCAAGATGGGGCAACAGCAAGACGAGGTAGTAGTATTACGGGGCGGGGCGGCGGCGGGGCAAGATGGAGCAACAGCAAGGCGAGGTAGTAGTATTATGGGACGGGGCAGGGGCAGCGGCGGGACAAGATGGGGCAACTGCAAGGGCGAGGTAGTAGTATTACGGGACGGGACGGGGCGGGAGGGCAGCGGCGGGGGCAAGATGGGGCAACAGCAAGGCGAGGTAGTAGTATTACGGGACGGGGCGGGGCAGCGGCGGGGACAGATGGGGCAACAGCAAGACGAGGTAGTAGTATTACGGGACGGGGCGGGGCAGCGGCGGGGACAAGATGGGGCAACTGCAAGGCGAGGTAGTAGTATTACAGGACAGGGCGGGGCAGCAGCGGGGCAAGATGGGGCAACAGCAAGGCGAGGTAGTAGTATTACAGGACAGGGCAGGGGCTACAGCGGGAGCAAGATGGGCAACAGCAAGGCGAGGTAGTAGTATTACGGGACAGGGCAGAACAGCGGAGCAAGATGGGGACAACAACAAGGCGAGGTAGTAGTATTATGGGACGGGCAGGGCAGCAGGCAGGGGCAGATGGGGCAACAACAAGGCGAGGTAGTAGTATTACAGGACAGGGCAGAACGGAGAACAGATGGGGCAACAACAAGGCGAGATAGTAGTATTATGGGACAGGGCAGGGCTACAGCAGAGCAAGATGGGGCAACAGCAAAACGAAGTAGTAGTATTATGGGACAGGGCGGGGCGGCAGGGCAAGATGGAGACAACAAGGCAGGTAGTAGTATTACAGGACAGGGCAGGGCAGCGGCAGGGCAAGATGGGGCAACAACAAGGCAAGGTAGTAGTATTATGGGACAGGGCAGGGCTACGGCAGGGCAAGATGGGGCAACAGCAAGGCGGAGTAGTAGTATTACGGGACAGGGCGGGGCAAGATGGCAACAACAAGCGAGGTAGTATTTGGGAGGGCAGGGCGCGCAGGGAAAGTGGGGCAACAGCAAGGCGGAGTAGTAGTATTACAGGACAGGGCAGGGCTACGGCGGGACAAGATGGGGCAACAACAAGGCAGGTAGTAGTATTACGGGACAGGGCAGGGCAGCGGCAGGGCAAGATGGGGCAACAGCAAGGCAGGTAGTAGTATTACAGGACAGGGCAGGGCGGCAGCGGCAGGGCAAGATGGGGCAACAACAAGGCGAGGTAGTAGTATTATTATGGGACGGGGCGGGGCAGCGGCAGGGGGCAAGATGGGGCAACAACAAGGCGAGGTAGTAGTATTATGGACGGGGCGGGGCAGCGGCAGGGCAAGATGGGGCAACAGCAAGGCGAGGTAGTAGTATTACAGGACAGGGCGGGGCAGCGGCGGGAGGACAAGATGGGGCAACAGCAAGGCGAGGTAGTAGTATTACGGGACGGGCGGGGCAGCGGCGGGGCAGATGGAGCCAAAAGCAAGACGAGGTAGTAGTATTATGGGACAGGGCAGGGGGCAGCGGCGAGGCAAGATGGGGCAACAACAAGACGAAGTAGTAGTATTATGGGACGGGGCAGGGCTACGGCAGGGAAAGATGGGGCAACAGCAAGACGAGGTAGTAGTATTATGGGACAGGGCAGGGCAGCGGGGCAAGATGGGGCAACAGCAAGACGAGGTAGTAGTATTATGGGACGGGGCGGGGCAGCGGCGGGGCAAGATGGGGCAACAACAAGGCGAGGTAGTAGTATTACGGACAGGGGCAGGGCAGCGGCGGGGCAAGATGGGGCAACAGCAAGGCAGGTAGTAGTATTATGGGACGGGGCGGGGCTGCAGCGGGGCAAGATGGGGCAACAGCAAGGCGAGGTAGCAGTATTATGGAGACGGGCGGGGCTACGGCGGGGACAGATGGAGCAACAACAAGCGGTAGCAGTATTATGGGATGGGGCGGCAGCGATGCAACACAAGGCGAGGTAGCAGTATTATGGGACAGGGCGGGCTACAGCGAAGATGGGGCAACACAAGGCAGGTAGTAGTATTATGGGACAGGGCGGGCAGGGCAAGATGACACAGCAAGGTATAGTATTATGGGACGGGCAGGAGCAGCAGGAAGATGGGGCAACAAGGCAGTAGTAGTATTATGGGACAGGGCAGGGCGGCAGGGCAAGATGGGGCAACACAAGGCAGAGTAGTATTATGGACAGGGCGGGGCAAGATGGGGCAACAGCAAGGCGAGGTAGCAGTATTATGGGACAGGGCTACAGCGGGACGAGATGGGCAACAGCAAGACGAGTGATAGTATTATGGGACAGGGCGAGGGCAGCAGCAAGATGGGGCAACAGCAAGGCGAGGTAGTAGTATTACAGGACAGGGCAGGGGGCTAAGCGGCAAGATGGGGCAACAACAAGACAAGGTAAGTATTAAGGACGGGGCAGGGCAGCGGCAGGGCAAGATGGGGCAACAGCAAGGCGAGGTAGTAGTATTATGGGACAGGGCAGGGCTACGGCAGGAGATGGGGCAACAACAAGGCGGGGTAATATGCGGAGGGCATCACTCTGGCGTCAACACACTAAACTGGTTTGTATTTACGAGAATTGGTGAACACTGTTGGAGAGAGAGAGAGAGAGAGAGAGAATTAACACGGCAGATAGACAGACAGACATGTTACCCTCTTCCTCCTCCTCCTCCTTTTATTCTTCCTCCTCCTCCTCCTCCTCCTCCTCTCCTCCTCCTCAAGTGGAAGACTGCTGCAAAAGATAAGTTCAGGTCATGACACTCTCTCTCCTCTCTCTCTCTCCTGACTTAACAATCTATAATAGTTCAGATCTGTGTGTTTACATTTGTACTATGTGAGATAACAGTCAATTAAGATCGATAATAAATATACCTCTATACACTAGAGGTTAGGTGTGTCGAGGTGTACACGTGTAAGTGTCTGTGTCGAGGTGTACACGTGTAAGTGTCTGTGTCGAGGTGTACACGTGTAAGTGTCTTATCGTGTTTACACTCCCTCGACACAATGTACTTTATACACCTTATCAGAGGCCCTTAAGATAATGACGTATAATATATTAAAATAATATAATAATAATAATAACAACGGTAAAATAATATAATAAATATTAATAATAATAATAATAATAATAATAATAATAATAATAATGATGATGATGACAGTCATAATAACAATAATAATAACGACAATAATAATAATAACGATAATAATAATAACAATAATAATAATAATAACAACTTACCTACACTACCATGTCTCTTCTTACTGTCAATATATACAGTTATCTCGGGTCATACACATACTCAAGATAACCAAACCACTGATAACTTACTGTAGTACTCTAAATAAGGTAATTAATATACGAAGGTTAATTAATGTTTCAACACGTGTTATCTATCACCCGAAGGCTAACACACATAACACCACATAACACAGGATAACACTACATAACACAGGATAACACTAAATAACACCAGGATAACACTACATAACACAGGATAACCACATAGATAACACAGGATAACACTACATAACACAGGATAACACTACATAAGATAACACCAATCGGATAACACTACCACAGGATAACACTAAATAACACAGGATAACACTACATAACACAGGATAACACTACATAACACAGGATAACACTACATAACACTAAATAACAGGATAACACAAATAACACAGGATAACACTACATAACAGGATAACACTACATAACACAGGATAACACTACACAGTATTACATAACACAGGATAACACTACATAACACAGGATAACACTACATAACACAGGATAACACTACATAACACAGGATAACACTCATACAGGATAACACTACATAACACTAAATAACACAGGATAACATATATAACACAGGATAACACTACATACACAGGATACCTCGGATAACACTACATAACACAGGATAACACTACATAACACAGGATAACACTACATAACACAGGATAACACTACATAACACAGGATAACACTACATAACACAGGATAACACTACATAACACAGGATAACACTACATAACACAGGATAACACTACATAACACAGGATAACACTACATAACACAGGATAACACTACATAACACAGGATAACACTACATAACACAGGATAACACCACATAACACAGGATAACACTACACCACAGGATAACACTACATAACAAGGATAACACTACATAACCCAGGATAACACCAATAACACAGGATAACACTACATAACACAGGAATAACACTACATAACACAGGATAACACTACATAACACAGGATAACACTACACACAGGATAACACTACATAACAAAGATAACACTACATAACCCAGGATAACACTAAATAACACAGCATAACACTACGTAACACAGGATAACACTACATAACACAGGATAACACTACGTAACACAGGATAACACTACATATCACAGGATACTATCAGAAACAGCGGTGAGCATTAACGGCACTAAGTCCCATTGGAGCAACGTCACAAGTGGAGTTCCCCAAGGCTCAGTATGGACCATTATTATTTATTATATACATAAACGACATAGATATCGGCATAGACAGCAACATAAGTAAATTTGCTGATGACACTAAAATAGGACGTGTTATCAAATCTGACGAGGACTCGGCAAAACTACAGGAAGATCTAAACAAATTTTTCGAATGGTCTGAAAAATGGCAGATGAAATTCAACGTGGACAAATGTAAAGTACTCAGTATAGGAGATGTAAACAGGGAAACCAGATATCAGATGAACAACGATGCCATAGAGAAATCCGACTGCGAGAGATTTAGGAGTAATGATAAGTAGGAACCTTAAGCCAAGTAAACAATGTGTTTTTGCTCGTAACAAGGCTAATAAAGTACTTGGGTTCATACAAAGGAGTGTTAGTTACAAGACTAGCGAGGTCATCCTAAAAAGCTGTATCTTGCTCTTGTGAGACCACACCTGGATTACGCAAAGTTCAGTTCTGGTCACCGTATTACAGAATGGATATAGAATCCTTGGAAAGAATTCAGAGGAGAATGACAAGACTAATCCCGGGCATTAGGAACCTTGAGTATAGAGACAGGTTAAAGCATCTTAATTTGCACTCCTTCGAGAGACGTAGAGCGAGGGGCGACCTGATAGAGGTGTATAAGTGGAAGGCAGGGCTAAACAAAGGGGACATTACAAAGGTACTCAAACTATCCAACCAGGAGCGAACTCGTAACAATGGTTTTAAATTAGACAAATTTAGATTCAGGCGTGAAATAGGTAAACATTGGTTTGGAAACAGAGTAGTGGATGAATGGAACAAGTTACCAAACATCATCATTAACTCGAATACGCTGGATAGCTTCAAACATAGGTTGGATGCTTATATGAGCAATAGGGGTTGGGTGTAAACGGGACGGCCCAGTATGGGCCAATAGGCCCGCTGCAGTTTCCTCCATTCTTATGTTCTTATGTAACACCTAATAATACACGATATCACAC